ATCTACTGGTTATACTGTACAGTGCAATCATTTTATATATTCCTCCAAATCTCTGTCCCACCAAGGCTGAAGAGTCCAATACTCCATCTAGTCAGGCCTCAAAGGTGCAGACTGTTATCAGAATTTATAAGCCCACACCCTAACAAATTGCAAATCCAAAATTACCCAGATTATAACAGATATTGGAAATGCTGTCTGTTTTTATGTATGCATTCCTGCAATTTCATTAAAAAGTTTACACTCACATTCAGATATTTTTCCCCCCAGAAATAGAGCAAGCTTGGAATTTCAAAGCTTGATCTCCTGTGCAAGGAATCTGCGCAATATATGAGGACAGTACGCAAGCCTAGCATTGAGTTCATCCACTGTTTCAGTTTTCCAATACTTTTCACTTCTATTACCTGATCCACAGCACAAAAAATGTGTGCATCATCCTGCTGGAAACGACGAACCCTCGTCAGCCCAGTTAGTGCTCCTGACAGTTCATTACGATGCAGCACACCAAAATCAGCCAGGCGGAGTGGGAGCTCTCTCCAAGAGCGACTTCTCTGATCAAACATCAAACTATGGGCAGAAAAACAAAATTAATATAAACTGTTTCATAAACACACAGATGCATGTTTCATCCCTTCAGAAGTACTTTCAACATCCAAATATTAAATTCATCCTGTTTCCTCTAATATCCACACTTTTATCATTCAAGTTACTGTTATTAACCAGTATATAAATAATAATATACACTGATACTGAAACTCATAAACAGATCATTAAAACAAGAAGGAAAGAGATGAAGTTGAAACTGTATAAGTGATTGCAGCTCCCACACTTCTACATGAAAATGTAACTTCAGTTAAAAAAAACTGTTACAATTAAAGCAGGAAAAATAAAAACTTTTAATTAACAGACGTACTAAATTAGACAAAATTAAAAACAAGCAAGCATGGAAATAACTAAATATTAACTCAATAAACAGAAGAATAAACAACTACACAGAAAAAACATTTAATCCACTTGAACAGAATAAACAATAAGGAAGCAGATATGAGCAATCTGACTGAACCCACTGAAATTATACTAGTTTAGAGGAGGAGGGAGCAGAAGCTGAAGATGATGATGCCAACACTACCAGGGGGAATGGCAATTCTGTGACTTCTGGCAGATTTGCTCCAAAATATTACAACTCTGCTGATGCAACAGGGATTTCTGATTAGTGTGGAATAAGGGAAAATGAAAGTACTGAATCTGATTTATGCAAACATTTTTTAATGCTCACACTGTAAATGAAACTATTACACTCATCAGCTGCAGAAGAAAAGTCTGAACTTTACAAGTGAAAGCCAACTACATACAATAAAATGTACGTAAGATTCATACTGTGTGGTCTTCTGAGTTATCACAACATACTCTCTGATAGGTGGGTATCAAGGTTTTTGGAGGATCATACATTCTTATTCTTTAAAATCAATATAATTTCATGTGTCAAGAATAAATTAATATAAGACTCTCTGGGTCTCGAACCTGAAGATTCAACACTGCAAATACAAAAACCTGCCACTAGACATCATACTGAACTAGTTCCACATGCTTTCAATCATGATTTCCTTAAAATCTCCAACCCAGTCTTTGAAGTAGCCACTTTTCAAGGGGTTTTCCATCAAAACTCCGAAGTAATTCCTTGTATTCCCAATCTCAACTATAAATCCATCCAGTGTTACCTTCATTTCACGGTTTCAATGATATTAGGTTACCAGTATAAATCAGAAGTTCAGAAGTTCCTTGTTACATCTCCACTCACTTCATTCCTCTTAGGTGGAAATATTTTCCTGACCACTTTGTTTACAAGTATTTGTAACTGATGTTCTTCTCTCAGAGTAAAAGATCACATTCCAAATCCAGTGGTAAAATCATATTCTTTTTTTAACTACAGATTAGTGTCAGTAAAATGTGATCATGCTTACCAATGTCCTGGACAGTTCATGGGTTTCAAAGCAAATGTTTCTTTTTCCACATCAAATGAGAACATGTTGTCCTGCAAACACAGAGAACCACATGTTTATACTACTGTCACTGTAGTATTTTTGTTGTATAGAACCAGAATTTAAAATTTTTAGAGCAACGATTCAACACTGGCTGGTTGCAAAGACACTCCACCTATAAGAGGACTGTAACTTCAGTTTTAAAAGAATGTAACATGACACCTGAACGGTATAATAGCAGAGAGAGAAAAGGCCACTGCTAGGCAACATTAAACATCTTCCGTAACAACAAATACACCAGCAACAAATGAAGGACCAAAGGAAGCAGTGCCTTCTGTATGGTCTATGCCAAAGCTACATATCAGGATCAATGAGACAAGTTAATTAGTTGTGAGTTGGCAGTTGCGGTTGCTGGCTGTCCATGAGCATGGACACAAAGGATTCTCCACTCTTAGCTCCCTCTATTAAGCAAGGACTGATGACAGAACAGACTAAGAAGACATAGAGCATGCTACAGTAACTTGTATAGGGTGTACATAGCTAACAGTGTTACAGCTATCTGTAGTTATGAGTCATAAATGTTCAATAAATTCAATCATCTAAACACCATGTCTAGTCATTAACATGCAACAGTATTATTAATCAGCACTTAACACATTACAAGAAGCTTCTTGGTATACTTTGAACTAGTTGAAGTAAATGAAGTTACTAAAAAAAAAAAAACATGTGTACACTGGTTATAAAATTTGTTTCTTTTCTCTGAAAAGGAATTATTTTGTAAAATAAATCATGCTATGCAAGCATTCTACAGTGTGATGGTATTGCAGAGTCTTGAATCAACTTGGGTAGACAGCTGGCTGGTGTAATTCTATCATACTGTCTCTCTCCATCTGCACTATTAATGCATTTACCAAAAATGGGAAAAATTTACTTTATGTTTGGAAAATATGTATTGCTCTTCTTCTCATCAACTGATTGTAGTTTTAGATTAACTACGTTAAATTAGTTGTTCACAGGCTGAAATAACATGCTTTGGATTCTGCACTGAGGTGTCTTAGTAACTTCAAAGCAGCTCACAATATATCAAGAGTTGTAATGATTATCATTTAAGCAGATGAACATTTTATTATTTTACCTTATGTTGTTATATGGTTTCATGTTAATCTTGAAAAATATGTCTCTGTTCTCTAAACAGTACTTTCTGTCAGAAAAGACAACTTACTACATGAGGATTCCCAAAAAATTTTACTTAGTAAGAAAATGAGCTGCCGGTCACAGTAGCCGAGCGGTCTAAGGCATGCACTGTCTTCGCTCGCTCGAAAGCCGGGATCGTGGGTTCGAATCCCACTAAGGGCATGGATGTTTGTGTGCATTTTTCTGTGTTTGTCTACAGGTAGAGGCCTTGCAACGAGCTGATCACTCGCCCAAAGAGTCCTACCAAATGTGTAAGATCTANAGAAAAGCCAAAGTGAACGGAGTTCATGGAGGTAGGCCTAGGCCCACTGGGGCTGTAGTGCCAAGGAAAAAAAAAATGAGCTAACAATATTTTTCTACTTCATAGCCCCATTAACAGCTCAGTCATCATGATCAAACACATTTGAATGGTGTGAATATCTAGGTCAGAAGTCTGTGATTGACAAGGCAGCTCTCATTACTATCACTAATACAATCACAGGCCATGTCAAAGCAATACTCAGCCACATATACAGTCCAAAAGCAATGAAAATTCTTGAGGAAATGTGCTGCAATGTGGTAAAATGCATTTACAGTAACTGACATTCATTTTAGAGTCTTTTTTGTGTGTTCACAAAAGATAAACACAGTTCTTAAATAAAATCGTATGACACAGCCATGGGAGATTATGTGGAAGACACAGACACTTACTATGCAAATTCCTTCATTCATGCAAGCAACATAAGACACCAATTTTAAATCAAAGGTAATGAGTTATAAGGAAGAAAAGTAACGATTGCATAAGTCAGGAAATATACTGTTTCTGGTGCCAATGTGAGATGATGAAAGATGGGTAAAGAACAATTATTAGACACAAATTCTATCACAAAAGCAGTACTCAGATCTAATATAAGCCTTCACGAAGAGTTAAGGAAAAACACTGTTTGTGCCTGAGAAATTAACTCAGAAATTTATCTGGAGAAACAATACAATTGGTTTTCCTTGAAAGTCCTGACTGTAAAGCAACATCATCTTACAGTCGGATAACCACAGTATTTGGCTTGTGTCAACTGTTTGATATAAGACAGTTAACTGTATAACTTGCACCCACTTTAACCTTTAATGGCCAAATGTCATATACAGGGTGTCCCAGGAGGAATGTGCCAAACTTCGG